ATTAAAAAAAATAAAAAATGAAAGATGGCAGAGAAGATGGCCAATTGTAATATACTATTATATCCATTGATAAAAAAATTACAAGAATCACATCCTACAAGTTTTTTTAGTTGACCATTTCACAATCACAACAGTTGGTAATAACTTTAATTTTCTAAAGATGTCACTTAACAACTATTTTGTATATTTTGGTTTGATTCAAAAAATAATTTTTGCAATTTTTTTATTGACGCGATGTCCGATCTACCTTTTTTGATGATTCATTAAATAAACGTAATGGATATGTTATCACCATGATATTGATGTATCAAATTTAGTTACTAAAAACTTTTTGTCATCAAATTTTGATACATAGTCGTCCACATTTACCATATTTTTGTTCATAAAAAAATACTTGAGATTTTAGGATACTATTTTTTAAGAGAAATTAACATGTATATTAGTCTTTTCACCTATAATTTAATTATCTAACATCATGTAAAACATAATGTAGTAACTAGCATTTAGGTTAGACTAAATTTCAGTTTTACCCTCATATAATTAATACATATTTTTACAACTTAAAAAATAAAAATAAAAACTTTCCTTTTATCCAAAACTTTCATTTACAGAATTCTCATGACATAGCTAATTATATTGTCCGTTAACAAGAGATAGTTACGTGTTACATAATTAACTATATTTACACAGTAATCATGATATAGTTAACTATACTGTCTATTAACAATGGATAGTTAGCTATACGTGTTACATAGTTAACTATATTTACACAATACTCATGACATAGCTAACTATACTATCCATTAACAAGAGATACTTAGCTATATGTGTTAAATACTTAATTATATATATACAATATTCATGACATAGCTAACTATACTGTTTACGGACACAATAACCACATTTGAACAACTCGTCCTGTTTAGGTTTGAAATCCCCAACACAAGTCTCCAAAACAACCCATTCACCCAACATCACAACAACCATAGTTCTTTTTGCCATCTGAAACAAATATATAATTACGGTATTAGAATTATAGCTAACTATAACAACATAAAATAAAATCGAATATAGTCAACTATACGTATTTCTCCTCCTTTTTCGAGATCCACCGCCAACCTTGTTTTCCATATTCTCCATCACTGATTTGTATGGATCTTTATTACCAGCAATATTATTAAATTTAATAGGGGTAAATTTGTCCAAATATTTTTTCTCTATGCTACTCACCTAAATTCTTTTATGGAGATGTTAGTTTATTAATTTCTTGCTCAAAACATAATATTAGCTAATTAACCCATTTTTAAACGTTGTTTTCCCTAATAGGGTGATAAATCAAAGAGTTAGTTTATTTCTAAGTTAAATGTGTGGGTGAAAAAAAAATGTAAGTTTGATTTAATGTAAGATTTTGTTTTACTAAGTAAAAATCTCTTAATAAAAAATAAACTTTTCATAATTTGTGGACTATATAGCTCTTAAAATAATATAGAAATTTTTTTTTTTTTAAATTTTTAGAAATATGGCTACATAATAATTTTTTTTTGCTGTAGCAGTTGATTTATAATTTCAACTATATAATTCATAAACATATTCTAAATAAGGTAATTCTCAAAAATACAACACTTGAAAGTTTAGTTTCCAAAAATACCACCATTTTCCAAAAGTTACAAAAACACCACTATTTGATAAATATTCTAAAATAACACAAAACTAAAATTAACTTTCAACATTGAAAACTAAATCCTAAACCCTATACCTAAACCTATCTCCAAAAACTATATCCTAATTTTACAATAGTTAACTCAAACACAAAAATTTAAATTACAAACCCTTGAAAATCAGTTTTGTGTATGTGGTATTTTTAAACATTTAAAAAATGGTGGTACTTTTGGAATCAAAACTTCAGATGTGGTATTCTAGGGAATTTCTCTTCTAAATATATATTTTTGGTAAGAAATAAATTCATA